AGCATAAATGTATAATAACTATAAGTAATGGCGAGGAATATAATGGGAAAGGAACTATCACCCAATGATTATATGATTGAGATATTTCTTTTCTCTGACGGCAACGTGGAAAAACGAGAAGTCAAAATATATATGAGATCTTGAGATTTATGGATCAAGATTGAACAACGTGTGCTTGGATAAATAAATGAACAAGACAACTATTTCGTATATTCTTCTTTCGCCTTTTACAATGTGTTTCAGTTCAGAAAGGCAGATCTCATTTTTGTTCCCTATCTCTTCCTATTTATAAGGGACATTCCTCAAAAATCCTAAAAGTACAGCATAAAGAATATTCAAAGGAATATTCTTGGGTATCAACTTTTGTGAACCTAAGCTACCGTTACTATCCTATCTCAACTGCCTGCCTTGGGTATCAGCTTTTGTGAGAACGACTTTCAGCTGTTATATTGTGGTCGACCCCGTCCTTTGTCCTGCTTATCTGTTACCGTGCTCGCCAAATTTGGACCTATACAACTTTCGACAATCCCAATATAAATTTTCTTTCTCATATATTAAGGAGAAGATAGTACCAAGTGCTCAAAATTCTGTCTCATTTCCTCCCTTTTCTTTGATCTGCATAATTTTGTGGAGCATGGGACAAACATACTTTTTTTTTTTTGCTAATTGGGACAACATACTTGCAAGTTGGAAACACCACTAAAACAAAAAAGAAAAAGTATATATATGAAAATATACCCCACCACTTCTTTTTTTAATTTCCTATCCGCGCTACTTTTTGAATAATTTTGATTCACCTTTAGAAGTCCTATTCTTAAAGTATATAGTGTTCAATACCAAAGATTAACTATATTTTCAGAGTTCCAATTCGAAACTACAAATAAAAAATTGAGGGATACCTACCATATTCAACAATCTCTGTTGTATACCCTGTTTTGCCGAGCTACAAAAATTAGTTTATTTTAAGAAGTACTTTTTTTAAGCAGTTTGTGTTTGATTAATTTATTTGAAAGCACTTTTGAGCAGCAATATAGTGTTTGGTCAAGCTTTTAAAAACTACTTCTAAGTGTATTTTTCTCAAAAGTGATTCCGGAGAGAAGCTATTTTTTTTTTGCTTCTCCAAAAGTGCTTCCGCTTCTTTTTTTTATTCCAAAAGCTTGGCCAAACATTTTAACTTTGAAAAAAAATATTTTTTTTGAAAAAAAAATATGCTTCTATAATTGGAGAAGCTTGGCCAAACATGCTAGTAATCCCTATCACTTTTCAAAAGTTAAATAAATAAACGGAAAAATAAGAGAGAAACTCTACCAAATATGTAGGCGTCGATATTAGATTTTTTCTCTTTTATTTATTTGGCCAACCACCTACTTTTAGTTTTGTTTCTTGATTTCCCGTCTCTTCAATTTCCATTTTTAAACAAACTGTCATTAATAACTTTTCAAGTTCGTTAAAGCCAACCCTTCAAGCGATTTTTTCCCCTTTTTCTTCATGGAGAAAATAATTGTTTGTCCAAAAACGTGCTGGAATATTTCAAAGTGTTAGGTCTTTGTGAGTATTGACAAACCGAGGCGGATCCAAAATTTATAGTGTATGGGTTCAACTTTAAGATTTTTAATATTGAATCTATTATACTTTTAAAGTTATGAGTTCGGATCTACTATTTGTTTCAACTTTAGTAAATTTTTACACATAAATTTATACTCCGCATAAAAAACTATGGGTTCAATTGAACCCGGCTCTTTTACCTTGCATCCGCCCCTGTTGACAAAATCAACTTAATATACACAACCAGGGATTATTTTCGATGTTTGAAAATTTAAAAAATCTTGATAGAAAGTACTACCATATTGGTAGGACCTTATATAATGTGAATCTAAATTAGTTAATTCCCCAACAAAAATACTAGATATTGGGTCGAAAACTATAAAAACTTAAGAGCCCGTTTGGCTATGAAATTTTTTCACTTTTTTTTGAATATTTTTCACCCTTTTTCGAAAATAATGTTTAGCCATACAATTTTCAATTTTCACTTGATGAATTTTGAAATTTTTCGAAAATTTGAAAAACTCATGTTTTTCAAAATTTCCACTCAGATCACTCGCAAAAATTCAAAAACAACACAAAATTATATTCATGCCCAAATACAACTCTAATTTTTAAATACTATTTTACTTAAAAAAAATTCATTTTTTCCCGCGATTTTATAATTCTTATGTCCCAACGCCCACTTAAATATACATACATGTGGTTATTTTGGTTTGAGTCTTCATTGCCCTCTTTGTCACCAACTCTTCAATCTTCAATGCTAGCACTTTTTATTTATTTTTTATATATTTATTCCAAAAAGAAAAAAAATAGGGGGGGGGG